CTCCCAGTTCAGCCCGGAATGGATGAACTGGTAGTAGGGGCAGCGGAAGCTCCACCCACTCACCCAGACCCTTCTGTGAACCAGTAGTAAAACAATTAGAAACCCACTACTGCTTTCTATGATGAATATTCCACAGGACTGAGCTCTCTGCACTCTAGGGAGTAGTACCATATTAGTTCATATGTTTGTTCCAGAAGTAGATCTTAGATCTTGATTTGATCACAGAAAATATTAGATTTTCCTCTAAAAGTATCTGCCCGAGATAGTGGTTACACATTGCTGACAATTATAATGTTGTTCTATTCATACTTAGTCTTATTATGTTAGATTTTCCAAATCGCCCCACTGTTATCAACTCCTGTAAGTGCCTGGCCCTTTCCTCTACTGTTTCATCTAGCTGTCTGCACTTATTTATTTAATTCAACACCTCACATTTGGCTTATAGCAATTATTACCAAATCATTGGCTGTCTTCAAAGGTCTTGCTGTGCAAAACAAAGTCCATAGTTTTTCCAATGGTTCAGAACTTTGAATAAACCTAATAAAAACTGCTATAGAACTTTCTTATTCTTTAAATCCATACATTCTTTTGTTTTTTCTTCTTCTGTATCTTGCCATCTGGGGTAGATTTCCCCTCCATTTANATTTTTCCATGCCAATGGATACAGTGGCGCATTTTTCCATGCCAATTATTATTATTATTATTATTATTATTATTATTATTATTATTATTATTATTATTATTATTATTATTATTATTATTATTATTATGGCCAATATTGCATGTAAACTGGTCAGATATTTGAGCCAGAAACCATGTAATTGGTCCTTTCCAGGACCAATTACTAGCAGTTGATAAATACTATCTATAAATCATTTTATATACATTTTTATTATCATAAATTGCCATTGTTAATCTATAGTTCCTTTCACATAAATTTTGCCATTTGTCTAATTCTATGTAATAGCCAAAGTTTTCCCCCATTGTACCATTTTATTTTTTATTTGTTCATCCAGCTCCTGAAGGATAGATGGAATAAAGATATAGAAGAGAAATAAATTAATTATTATATGTTAACTTGAGGGGACAGATTTCCAAGTGCTTGAATTTGTATAAATCATACAGACAAACAAAAACAGGGACAGAAAAATACATACACAGAGAGTATGATTTTTAACAGTAATTCTGGGAATGTTGTGGCTAAAAATATAATGCTTTAAAGAAATTAATATTCATTGACAAATGTCTATATAAGAATACATTAAAATACAATAATAGTACATTGAAATTTTACAAAAGAAAACATAATTCTCATATCATATTCACCAAGTTATACCTAAGATTACATGAAGAGTACATGAAGAAAGCATATTTTATAAGGAGAAATTAGAACTCAGAACAATATCTTCACAATTCTCCAGATAAAAATTTCTTTTTAACATTAAATATTTATGTTTAATATACACTTGATTTGCTACTTAATATACAACCACTGACAATAGATTCTCTTTTTTCTGATTTATAAGAAGATTGTTTTCAAATTTAACTATCTTTAATCTAGTTTGTCTTTAGGGCCAAATGTCTGAAAATAAATATCTCCTTATTGTCTTCCTTCCCTTAACATATTGCATTTTATTCTAGAACACTAGCATATAATATCATTTCATTAAATCATTTTCTCAGTGTGAAAATTAGCTTTAGAAACAGTCATGTAATTTTTATTTAAATAAATGCTAGTTTAGCTCAATAAGAGATAATTGAATTTTTGTTGAATTGCTAATATGCACACCATGCCATACTTACTCTACAATTTTTCTTCATAGAATTTTTGTGGCTTCTGATGTATGCTTTATAGTCTGTTAAATATTGGCTCTATAATACATGCAATCAAAGTATATTCAAATCTATCTTCAGAGAAAAAGGCTGACTTCATATTCAGCAACCTTATTAATCATTTTATTTCTCTCAAGAGGCAAATACATATCATAAGATACACATTCAAAACTAGACAAAATAAATCAGTATGAGCTTTTGTGGATGCTATTAGCCATTAACAGCTAGTACATTTGAGAATATTCTAATATCACCCATCTCATTGCTTTAGACAATCATAGATGATGTTACCAAGAGGACTAGGGTTGAAACTCACAAATTCTTACTTTCTGAACTGAGAACTCATATATAGATTAATTGAGAAAATCTGCCAGAAGGAAGTTTAAACAGATTTAATCATCTGGGAGTTTATCATTGCTTTCTAAATTGTTGGTTGTTATAGTACTTTATAATATCAAGGATTATATAAATTAATTATATACTGTATATTGGAACTCCTATCCATTTAATTAGCCTGTTTCCAATATTGTGCTATTTATATATTTAAATTATGTATCTATCATATCCGTATTCAACCAAACTTAAAAAAGAGAGGTGCGTGATGTCAAATATTGTAAGTTTTACTACTAGGAGAGATAAATTGACAGGGAATTTAAAAATTCCCCTTCAAGATTTGCAGAGAATAGATTACCAAAACAAAAATTTGAATGGCAATACTTCACTGGCATTTTTATAGACATCCCACTTAAAAAAGCCTAATTGTAATATTTTCTCTGTTACAAAAACTAGGTTCACTTAAAGGTGTTAGAGAATATATTTGAATGATCTATATCAAAATTTTCATCCATTGGTTCCAAACTGTACAATGGAGTTTGGCCAAATTGGATTCCTGAAGGCTTTTAATATCTTGCACTGTCCCAACAATGCAATATGTATTCATTTTATTCAACAGCAATGGAGGATAGTCTTACCACAATCCTATAGTAGATAGCGGAGATTTCATGTGAGAAGCACAAAATCTTCTTAATGAAGTTGTTTTGGATTATTTCCAGCAGAAATCAGAATTCTCATCTCACAGCCATTTCAGTTCCATACAATATCTGCCTTATCACCTGGCCTTAAAAATATTTTAATTGCAGAGGATACCAGCTGCTCTTCTTTAAATAGGAAAAAAAACCCAGAATAGTGTTCACAGCATGTTTGGCAGTTGCTAAGAAAGAAGTGTAATGTGTTTTCCATTAAAGAGACTTGAAAGTGAAAGTTTTGCCCAGGTATTTAGCATTGGTCTCTCTATCTGTTTGACATTAATTTTCCATCTATGTTTAATATTGATTCTGCCAAAAACTACTACAACTACTATTTATCAGTCAAAAACTACCACCACTACTACAAAAACTACTATATAATTTTGTTAAATTTTATCTTTTTTTTCTTTTCACAGTAAACAGAGAGTCTGGCCAATAATCTTCTAAAGCCAATATCAGCACAAATAGTAAGAGCAAATAAAAAATAAGGGACATCAACATACATTAATATTGAAGTTTTATATCCATTAAATAAAGTGGAAATATTTTTCCCTAATTTTGTGGCTATTACAAGATCAGAGATATAAAAATTGAATAAGAAGCAAATAAATAAACACTCCTGTTTAACTCTTCTCTCCAATAAAATAGACTCTAACAAGGACCCATGTGGTCCACTCTTAAGTTGGCACTAATGTATGTAATTCAATTATTAATTGATATCTTCCCTAATTAGTTTCTTCCATAACTGAGACCTATCAATGCAATCAAGGACAGAAGTAAGGTCAGATATGTGGCAAAGAGTTATTTGGTGTGGTATATTTCACAATAAGGGCCTTCAAAATGGTATAGTAATTTATTGTGCGATATCCTTATAAAATCATGTCTGTTTTGCATAAAACAGATTGCTTCTTCTTTCACATCCTCTAGTTTGTTCAAAAGTTGCCTGGACTTCAGTTTAGAATCCAACAATCAAATTGAATGATAATTCACAGGTTTTTGTTGATTACCCTATTTGAGGTTTAGGTATATTGTACTTTATTTCCATTGAGGAAGTACAATATATTATTTTAGAGAAGAACCTAATCAAGATGGACACTCACCAGGAATCACTCTTCTTACATACTTCTGAAGGAATAATCTCCTTACCAGAAGCTTTTCTAAATTTACTGTTAAAACATCCTGCTTATGTCCAGAAGTTGTTACAAATGGTGACTCTGTAGTATGTTTAGTTCGATAGAGAATTTTATTGGCTGAGTGTATAGGCAGCTATAATTAGAAAAAAATATATGAGATCCAACTTTGAGATGCAGGCATATGGCATGATTCTGTGTGGAAATTTCATTAGCTATCAATTCCCAAATTTGTCTTTTATTTTCCTTTTAATTAAGCTGATGTTAGGTTTCTCCATCAATCCCTATAATAGGATAATTTCTTTGTCTTTAATAATTTGTTGTATTGGAATGGAAAAATGACTGAATCAAGAAATATGTCCTTTCCTTTCTGCCTCCTTCAAGTTTCAGTTACACTCATACCTGTGATTTCTCAGGAGATTACAATTTTACTTCAAGGCTAGAAAGTTAGCAATGAACCAAAGGAATGTAAACAGTGTTTTTTTTTTTTAAAAAATGGCAACTTTTAGATGTATGGACTTTAGCGCATGAAATTCTACAGTCTACACATCTTCAGGTTATAAAGTCTGAAAAGCATTAGCAGAAGGATTAATTTTAATTTAGCATGTGATGAACTAAAAAAACACATTGGGCTTCTTTCTGTACTGAATTTTGCTCCATTATGATCATCTTCCAACAGTTAAAATTTCCCCAATGGAAAATCTTTGGACATCAGGTAATTCATGAGATTCATTGACATGTTTGGCCAATATTCAGAGATGGGTTGATTGTTTTACAGGTGAAGTAATTGACTGGATGGCATAGGCTTGGCTCAAGACTGAAAGGAACAAAACAGGTTTAGAAACAGGCAACAAAAAGAGTGAAGAAGAATGACTACTCATTTTTATTTGGCAGTTGCAGTTCCATGTTGCCAATGTTACCATTTTGCCAATGAATAAGGAAAGTTAGATTATTTCAATACATACTTATTTTATTTTTGAATATGAGTATATGGTTCCTTTTAAAATACCCCTCAGGCTATTGTGCCAGAGACAACATAATGGTTGGTCTGTGTCAGCTTTCCTATAAGAATCAGAGTGTTTCAGATGATGATGAGGAGGAGGAGGAGCAGGAGGAGGAGGAGGAGGAGGAGGAGGAGGAGGAGGAGAAGGATGATGATGACAATGATGATGATGATCGATCGATAGATGATAGATGATAGATGATAGATGATAGATGATAGATGAT